ACTTCACAATAAAGCCTGTTCTCTTCTAAAAAGCCTGTGCCACAATATTGGCTTCTAGGTGCGCCCGGCAGCGAGCCCTTGCTCCGTAACAGTGGTGATTATGCCCATTGTACAGATGAGGATCTTGAAGCTCAGCTTAATCTCTGGTAAAGAACTGTCCTGGGTCACACAGCTAGTACGTGGAAGAATGAGGATTCGAACCAGGTCTGACTCAGTCCACACTCAACCATCAGGCCACGACCTTGCTACTGTGTAGAGGTGAACTCAGGACTGTGGGCACACAGAGGAAGGTGTGTGGGGCTTGGTAGAAGGAAGAGAGATTGAGGAAGACTTCCTGGAGGAGGAGACTATTGAGCTGGGATTTGAAATTTAAGAAAACCCACTGTGGGGACAGTGAGAGTCTCCCTAATGGAGAATGCTAATGATGAGCTGCAAAGTGTGTTGAAGTGCATGAGAAGTTTCCAGAATCAGGCATATGGGTTCAATCCTATTTCTCCTACCTGTTGACTATGATTTTGGGTTGGCTACTTAACTTCTCTCTTTCAGTTTCTTCATCTGTAAAGTTGGGACAATACACAGTGCTGACACATGATAAACGTTAGGTATCATTTTACACGACTCGAGTATTAAGAGCCCATTACTAACTAAAGCGATATTGACAAACAAAATCATTCAGATGGCACAATGACTTTGCCTTCAAGGGCACATAGCAAGCTCATGTGGGAGCTTCCTCGAAGCCCCATGATTGAGAAATGAGGAGAAAGTATCCCCATTTCTGTCTTTGGGAGGGGGTGGTAAGATTCCCAGCAACTTCTAGTTTTCAAGTTGTCCTCTGGCCACTCCAATTTAACTGTTTTATGCCCTTGAGCAAATGAAGCACCAATGGCAGTGAATCAGTTTTTGGCCATTTGATTGTCAAGTCTTGCGTGAGGCAACCGGTTTTACCTTTTGGGCGAGTCATCACACCAATGGTCCTGGCCTCAGCCAAAACAGACACTGGCCCACATTACTTGCTGTTCACATTCAAGAGCTAAACAAGTTCGGACAGAATTTTTGATAAGCCCCAAGCTATCTGAAATATTGTTACTCACTATCCCAAACTCAGGAACCAAATGCAGGATAAAGTGGAATCCTGGCCATCTAAGCTCCCTGTCTGAACTCACCCTATGCCGAGGGGGAGCCCGATAGGCTGGGGGAGGGGTGCTTGCCATTGTTGTATCTTGCCATTCTGCTCACCGCAGGGCGGCTGTGAGGACTGACTGAGATAACCATGGTGTCTGGCCTTTGCCAGGCATTTTTCATTCTAGAGGATAACGACATAGTACCATCCTTTCATTTTGTAGCAACAATGGCAGAAAAACAGCTGTAAATTCACCAGGTGACCATTTCATTGGTTTCACAGAGTTGCCCTGGATACAGAGGTATTGCAATCATCAGATGAAATCCGTTTTCCTTCCTGCTTGCCTGGAGCTGAGGGCGGGTGTCCAACCCACACAACTAGTTCCCTGCTGTTCCCCGACACGGGTTCTTCTGGACACAATATATCTGTGATGCCAGAGCCTTCACACGTGAGGCCCTCCATCCTGCACTGCTAGCTGCTCAAACCCTTCCTCTGCATCCAATACATTGCTCTCACGGGATTAATTAAAAGGACAAGTATCTTTCTAAAAAGCAGAAGAAACTTGTAATGAATTTAAAGCGAGAGAAAAATCCTCATTTAAGCAACATGTTTTCCCCAAGATCCCAGCCCAAGCATTCAGAAAAGTGTAAAAACATGCATTATTGAAAAGCTTTTTAAACGAGCAACTTTTAGATTAATTTATTGTGGCCGGCACGTATCTTGCTCACCAGTGACCCTGGGGCCTGGGTCTCTGCCTCAGAGCAGGCACCAGCAGTTCTGCTTGTTGGGTGGGGGAGGAGGGATGGGGGAGGGGACGTGCCGAGAGCACACTGTGCCTTTAGTTCCCAGATCAGTCTGTGATTTGGAAAGCCAAAAGCAACTTGAAGAGAATGTTTAGGTGATAAATGGAGGAAGAGAGGGAAGACACCCTCATATTTCACTCTTGTCACTGTACAGAGACAGGTGACTGGGAGCCTTAGCTCCATCTGACAGTTGGAAAAAGACTGAACTGACTTCCATGGTTAAGAGACCTGTCCTCTGCTCTCCTCCCTGGGGAGGGGTCACCAATTCTGCAGAGCGGGGAGGATGGTACAGCCCCACCATGAACCTGCCAAGCTGAGCGCGGGCAACCACCAGTCTTGGGATTCCTGACATCCATCACCCTCAGCCAGGTGCAGACAGTGTCAAACACATCTTCTCATGAATGGCTGGGCTAGCTGCACGAGAAGATGTCATTTTGGAGACCTCCAACCCCCAAACTGGTTTTTAGAATCCACTTCTCCAGGGAAAATGTCCCGAACCCATCCTTAAATAGAGCAACTGAGTCCATGCCAGGCTCATCCCATGGACCTCATCTTGCCTGGTACCCAAGGACCCTGGCAAAATAGAGACTAGAAAATAAAATCTTAACGTCTCAACCTTTGCCAGCCCATCAGCTCCAGTTTTTAAAATGTTGTTGCTGACATGTTTGAGCTATTGCTTTTTGAGTTGTAGTGAGATTTCTTGAATGCCCATTGATTTCTGGGTAATAAGTTGTACCTGTGTGTCTCACTTCAATTACCTATTTAATATTCACTGAACCATAAATCCATTCCCAGAGCTCTGGGATTCAGTTTCGAGTTCCTATGACTTTGAAAAACCATTGATCCCATGTGCTCTGAGTTGCCACATGTCAGGCCTTTATAGCAGGTTAACTCATTCTGGGGCTTCCTAAATGTCTGCGAGTTTATATTTTATTGCATATTTATTATTTGGGTTGGGCTGTGATGAATGGTTTGGCTGTCTGGTTCAAAACAAGTCCATTTGCTTAAAAAATGATGATGGGAATGCTTTTCAAATAATCTGGGAATGAAGGAAACAGATACCACGTTGCCCTTCAGGAGACGTATGGCCGGTGGTGAAGCGGTGATCTCCCTCTTCTCCATGGGCAGCTTGTGTTTGTCATGACCTTCATCAGGGAGGCTTTCTTTCCTCGGGGAAGCAGAGATGCTTCCGTTTCCTTGAGAGTAAAGCAAGTAGTGTCCTGTTTGGCCTCCACTGATTTCCGGGAACAGAGCCCATGGAGCGGAGGCTTCTGTGGAACAAGGGACCAGGACGATGCCTGAGCAAGTACCATTCTGTGCTTAATGCTGCCACCACGGGACACTTGAGTAGTGATGCCTGGTGCGCCCCCAAATTCTGAAGTCCAGCCTCGGCCCCTGGTTCTTAAAATGCACCAACCTTTCCCTTCATAGCTCCTTTTGCTGAGGGGCCTGAGCCCAGAGAGCACTGATGGGGATGTCTCAGAAGTGTCCCCAGAACACTTGCTGCTGCTTTACTGATAGGGAGAGGGGGGCTGCTCTCCCTGTCATTCGCCCTGACCATGCCACTCTTTTCTTGTCCAGGTTCTATGGGATTGAATCATCAGGGGGTCTCGGCGTGGGGAAGACGCATGGAGAGGATATTGCAGGAGGTGGACTCTGGGGACAGGAGTGGAGTGGAGGTCAGTGCTTACCAACTGGCTCTCCAGAGTAAAAAGACCCCCTACCCCTCACAGCATTTGTATGGTGTAAATTTCTGTGGTGTAAATACTCCCACCATGGCTGATTGAAAGCTATCAACTGTTTGTTTGCCTTGCAAAATTCCTGAAAATCAATAACCGGCTCTCATAAGCTAGGTGTAGGGAGCTGCGGATACTTCCACACACTCCAAAATTTAGAGATTTATTTCAGGGAATAAGCTCCTTGATGCACAAATCAATCCCCCCCTCCCGCCCTCCCACAGCAGGCTAAGCCATCAGTCATTTACACCTTATTCTGAACTACTGTAAGCAGACATGAGTGTTAAGAGTGGGCAGGGAGGAGGAGGATGGGGAACCATACCAAGTCAGAGTATAACACGCAGACTCCTGGAATTGGAGGTTGGACTTTGGTCCCTGGCAATAGGGATGCTGTGTACTGGAAAGGCACCCCCTGCGTCAACCTCATGGACATTTCCCGCAGGAGAGAATTGCACTTGTTTCTCTCCTCTTATGTCATACAAGTGCCTATTCTATCTGCACAAGAGTCCTTCTTGCCAATGAAGCACAAGGACTCCCTCTCAGGCTTTGTGAACGTTTGGAATAACAACCGCACAGAGATGTCAACAGGAAGCAGTAACACCTTTCTGAAAAGTGGGATCCCAGGTAGAGATTCCGGTTGTGTAGAGAATGCCAGGATCTGTGACTCAGAGGCTCAATTTACAGTGGGCGTCTCACACCTACTTCCCAAATTCCAGGGCCTGCAGGTCAAGTCCAAGGTCACATCACATAGGGCACACACATTAGCTGCTTTAAGCAGAGCCTGAATGCTGTCTGACACAAAGGGGCTTCATCTCTTCGGGGCCAAGAATGTCCCCTCTTGTTTTGAGCTAGGGCCCAGCACAGCCCTTTCGTCTCCCCACTGCTGAACTCTGTCTGAGCTCTCTGATGAAGTTCCCTTTCCAATCTGGCCCAGCCTCCAGAACCCTCCTGCAGGGTTTGTCCCCAGGCAGGGCTCCCCAAGGGGGCCAGGCCACAGCCCTAAAATCTGCTCCCTCCATGTGCAGTCTCAGACTCCCCCAGGGGTGTCTGGCGGTGAGCTACCAGCCTTGCTTAAATCACAGTCCTGGGTTCCTCAACCACAGTGAGAAGAGCCGTTATCCAAAAGGAACAGAACGAGCCCCCTGTCTCCCCACCCACTCGCCTTTACCCTTTTCTTAAAGCTCAGGCTTGTTGCAAAACAAATCCAATTGCTTTCATCTATAAAAGAAACCAACCTTGGAGACAACCGAGGACGGACCCAAGGCCCCGCCACATTTAGGTGCAGGCATGCCTGTGGACACAGGCCCGTTCGCCCAACAGCCCAGCTGGGCCCTGACTTACGGAAGGCTGTGTAGAACTCGCGGAGGGTCAGCCAGCCGTCACTGTTGTAGTCGTCAAATCGGAGGAGGTCGCCCAGCAAGCACCCTAGGAAGTCCTCCTCCAAGTCCTGCTCCTTCAGCACGTGCTGCGGGCGAGGAAGGGAACAAGGCCGGAGCCAGGAGTGAGCTCAGAGCTGTGGGCTTTGCTGGAACATGGTTCAGGCCAACTGGGGCTGCAGTCACTGGCTTGAGGGGCAGGTGAGAACTCCAGTGACAGCTTAGTGGGCCCTGGAGAGCACAAGACAAAAACTTTGGTTTTGTCTTGTCTGTCCATCCCATTTTATAGATGAGAAAACTGAGGCTCAGAGAGGGGTGGGGACTTTCCTAAGGTCACACAGTGGTAGGGGCAGAGTTGGGATTAGTGTTCAGTTGTGTCTTCTTCTCATCTGGGTAAACAGACCCCAGACAGTCTGAAGTGAGAAGGATCCTTGAGGCCATCTGGTCTACCCCTTCCTGCTGGTGAACAGAGAAGGGGCCTGATCAAATGAACTCAGCAAATAAACAGTGGCTGAACTCGGTGTGGGAACTGAGGTCCCCTCGCTCCCAGCCATGTACAGCTGGGAGGTCACTGCTCCATCAGTACTTCCCTCGCCCCGTCCCCCATCAGTCCTTACCAATCTCAGGGCTGCACCTCCTAGCCACAGCACATCCCCTAGAAGGGGGCAGCTGCCATTCTACTGACCTAGGTCTGAGCCTCTGCCTCTGCCTGTCCTGTCCTGCCAGGGACACACAAACGTCTACCCTTGGGACTCTGGCACGGGGGCCATGCGTGGGCCCTTGTGAATTTCTCTCTGGATGTGGCCTGGGCCGCAAGGCACAGAGGCCTCCCCAGCATAACCACCCATATGCCAAACGGTGACTAAGGGTAGAAATTCCAGGCACCCTCACTCAGCTGGAGCCAGAGGCTGGTGTGTCTTGCAGGGAAAATGCTCAGAAGAAAGGAAATAATTTGATTTTATTTTTTGGGGGGAAGGTGGACAGGAGCATTTTCTCTTTATTTAACAGTCTCAGCTTGGCCTGATATATTAAAGGCAATTTAATGTGATAATGTTAAAAAAATGACCCTTCACCCAGCAAGTAAGAGTGTTCGATAAAAGGGAGATCAACCATAACGCCCGAAATCAATCTTCCAGAGATGGAAATTTCCCTTTGTCTATTTCTGCATTGGAAATTGATTAACTTTTCATAGGACCGACAAGTTTTTCCGCAACGTCTTTGATTCAGTGTCAGGAAAAGGCCCACTTGAGCTGGGCTCTGCTTGGCAGATTTATGAAATGGACTTTAAATACATTAAATTTTAAAGAGGAAATCATAGTCCAATTACCATGCTTGTTAATGGCTTCAGGTGCCTCAGGGCACATCTCTGCCAGGTTACAGCAACATGACCAGGGAGGTTCTGTTTACTTGGCAGCGACCGGGGAGCCACATGGGCTTGGGGTGCCGAGAGCCCACAGCTGCCTCTGTCCAGGATGAGCCAAGCCACCTACCCTGTAGTGTGGGGCATTGCAAGACGGTTCTTCCTGCCGGGAACTATAACTAACAGGACCAGGGCTTTTCCCCGAGCAGCTTGGGTCATTTGTGGGCCCTCGGGCTCTTAGCCACAGCTGGGGGCCTAGTGCTGCTGGAGGTGGTGACATGCTGGCTGGCATGGCTGAGATGGCATGCACCTGGGAGACTGTGGGTCGCAGGTCTCCTGGGAGGCAGTCTCTGGATAGACTTGCATTGTTGCCTAGGTGTGGGTGAGCAGAGTAGGGTCTGCAAGTGCCTTTAGAGCTGTGGTTCCCAGCACGCTCCCTGGAAGCGGGCTCTGGGCTGGCTGGAGTAGAGGGCTGTGCGAGGGGGACCTGCTTGGCAGAGCCTCTGGGTGACTGCTCTGTACTCAGGCTTTGTGGGCACTTGCTGGCTCCACAGACCTCAAGAAGAGCAGGTAGATTCCCCTGGTAGGAGCCATTCTCCTCCAGGGAGACCCCTGTGCTGTGATGAGAGCAGGGGGTGCACACCAGCCCACCTGGGCTCATCTTAGCTCCATCATGTCCCAGGTAGTGAATGTAACTCAGGCTGGATTTTTGGAATCCTTGTGTCCTCATCTAAAACAATCGGTGGGGTGGAAAGAACAGTAGTGCCTACCTCAAAGCAGAGAATGGCTGAAAGATTTAAGGAGGAACTCATAGGAATAAAGATGACGATGACATTGATACTGACCACTGTCACCTACTGAGCATACACCATGTGACAGGCATGGTGCTGAGCACGTCACATGTCTTAGCTTGCTTCACCCCCGATGACCCTGTGATGGTCACAGACAAGAAACGGGGTCACAGTCAGGTGAGGGTGTCTCCCAACACCCACTGGTGGTAAATGCTGGAGGTGGGACTTGAGTCCAGGCAGTCTGACCGTAAAGCCTGCATTCTCAGCGACCACACTACACAGTAAGGAACTCTACTGTGTTTGTTACATTGCTGGCTTAGTGCCAAGCACACAGGAGATGCTCAGTAAGTGTTAGGGCACGCCCCAGCCCAGCCCTTCCTGATGACATGGCCACAGCTTTGATAAGGTCACCGCATCATGTGAAGGGTTTCTTTAAAATGGCATCAAAGGCGAGGACTCATTTTTATTCTCTGTCCTCTGTCCCTCCTTATTATCAGCCGTGTCCTTGTTGTCAGGGCACTCTGTGGTCTCTGGGGGGAGCTGCCCCTGCCCAGCACCCTGCTTGGGGAGGTTGACCTCGCCTTCCTTGTAAATCTTTGCACCTGCCTGGTGTGGCTCCAGGGCCTCAGGCAAACCAGCAGAGCAGCAATGCAGGCCCTGCCAGACCCCCAGCCCCCTTCCTGCCACCAGCACCCAGAGGTTTTCCGTGCTGCTGGCAGTGGCTGGGCCCCAGAAGGCTTCTTCCTCGCTTCTCTCTGCTGCAGGTGTTAACAGCCCTCACACCACCTCGTAGCTGGACAGAGGGACACCAATCTAAGTGTCTCTCAAATGGAAGAGCAGTGCTTGAGGGTGGACACAGGGCTTCCTGAAAGCAGGCAGGCTAGGGTTTGGATTGTTAATATCTGGGTACTAAAGAATGGTGAGATCCTAGGGGAGGGGACTTCGGGACGCCCAGGTTACAGCTCCAACCATGTTTGGTGGAAACCAAGCCTGCTTCTAGCCGAGGAAAATAAGTAAAGGGCTCAAGGAAGGAATAATTTATTTCCTCATGACATCGGAGACCAGCCTCTCTGAAGTGTGTGCTTTGCCAGCTAGCTGCGCGTGTTTCAAAGCTTGTTTGTAAATATTGGCTGAATGTGGCTGGTGGGGAGAAGACACTTGACACTGTTTTGTTAGTAAGAGATGCTCAGAGGAGTTCAATGCGAGCTCTCTGGCCCCGAAGAGAAGGCTTTCTCTTGCAGGAGAAGGGCCTCCGTGGTGTCCTGGTACAGAGACAGTTACAAACGACTCTCCTCACATGGACCTCCCTGCTCTCTTCACTTACATGCTAAATGGCAAACTGAATTCCTCTGTAATTCGATTTTTACTGGATGCTGCACTCACCTGAGCTAATTCAGAGCTGTTCAGGTGGCCATTACCATCTGCATCCAAATCCTTAAACAGAGATTCCACCAGGAGGCGCTTCTGGGAGGCAGGGTCTTGTCTGCTGTCTCCCTCTCGGAGTGGCTGCAGGCGGGTCTGGAGCGCCAGAAGGACATTCTTCAGGCGGGCGTAACTGGCCATGGTGCATGGGTCACCTGGAAGAGAAGATGAGGTTATTGCCACAAGGCTCCTCTTTGGTGCTGAGAGAACGTCCGCCCCATTCATGGGTGACTAGGCATTTACTGTGTGTGGTGCAGGGCGCCCCTGGAGTGGATGGGACCTGTTTGTCCTTTTGCCCACCAATCCATCTCCTAAATACTTACTGAGCACTGAATACATGCTACACATGATGCAAATGCTGGGTGGAGCCTGTTTGTCCATTCCACAGGTATTAACTGAGCACCTACTACATGCCACACATAGAGCAACTGCCAGGTGGAATAGGGAGTTGTCAGGGGGGAATTCACAGCCGTAGCCCCACAGCGGCTTTAGGAAAGCCGGCCCCAATTCCATTTTGTAATAGCTTGTCTTTGCCTTAATCCTACCTTAAAGGCTGCTTTTGAATACTTGGCCTCGTAGATTCAGGAGTTTGAGTTAACAGGACTAATAAGCCCTGCTTAAGTTAATTAGGTACATTCCCAGAGCTGGATTACTTTAAAACAAACATGTGTACGCAAGTCTATGACCAAGAAACAAAGGGAAGCTTTACGAAATTAACACCCAAGTGCACACAGCAGCTCACTCGCGGGCCTTTAATCACAGGCATGCTTGCCGCACAGTATCAGCACCACACAGAGCTTTGGCAAATGAGGCCTGCGATGCTCTGTGACATGACATACTTGATCTTGCTGGTGGTGGGCCACTAGGATAAACACCATATGGACACAGCCTGTGTAACAGGGGCTGCAGGGCTGTGAGCAGAGCAGGAGAGCCCTGCCAGGCCCACTTCCCCACCTCCCTGGGGGTGGAGTGCTTCCTGGGTCTGGCTAGGCTGAGTCCTGGAGAATTGAGTTTGGGCTCCTCCCCGTCCATTCCGGGTGGAGGGCCAAAGCAATGCTGGGAATGGACTGTCCGAGCCCTTGAGCACGTCCCCTTAATTCCGAGGCTGGTTTAGGGAACCAGAGAATACCTCGGGGTTGGAGAGTCACTGTAAGGCAGGGCTGGGGAGCACCGACTCAAGTCCACTGGGTCTGAGTCCCAGCTTTGCTGCTGCCTGAATGTGTACCTTGGACCAGGTGCCTCAATGATTTCATCTGTGAAATGGGGAGATCACGTCCTCCCACAGAAGGCTGTTATGAGGATTAAGTAAGAGACGCACATAAAAGGCTGAGCACAGGCTTGGCACAGAGTAAGCGCTCATCAAATGATAAGCCCTTATCATTATTAGAAGCACATTTGCTGAACAGCAGCAAGCAAGCAAGCTATCTAGTGGGGGAAGGGCTGATGGGGAAGTCTGTCTGTCTGTCTCTCCCTCCCTCCCTCCTTCCCTCACTGGATAAGCCTGGATGGCCCAACCACTTTCTCTTGTGCTTGTTTGTGTTTCTAGATTTTCTTCCAATTTGGGGTCAATTGATTCTTGTCAGAAACAGATGCCTGTTACCATTTCCTCCTGCATGTTTATTTAGAAAAAAAATCAATTTCTGTGTTCAATATAATCAAATCTATTTGTTCTCTGGGAGTCTTCATGCTCTGACAGGAATGGCTCTCACATCCTCCTAACCGTGCTGGCACCCTCCTTGGCCTGGTAGGGTTCCATATCAGGGCGTGCTTAGGGCCACCAGTTGGCGAACCCAATTCTCAAGTCTGGTTAGCTGCACAGTGTTGAAAATAGTGGCCTTGTCCCACTACAAAACCACTGGCACCCAGGGGAAGATATGGCCACCTGCTGGGTTTTTCTTCTTCCTGGGCTTAGATACAGGTCAGTTTGGGGAAAAGAGAGGAATAGTTTTGTCCAAAGCTTGCCCCCTTACCCCCAACAGGGTGAAACCCAGTTCTGGAAAATGGACCAGAAGTTGGGTACATGAGCTAGATGGAGGCTCTAGCTGAAGCTTCCCATCTCTGGGAACGTGACTTCTCATCTCTGTGTGGAGGGACCTATCCTGGAGGGGCCCTCAGGCTCTCCTGGGGGCAGGCGTTCATGCCCGGATGCCGTGAGGCTGGTATACACAGCAGATGGATGTGGGGTCAACAGGAGGCTTGACTCAGAACTGCTAGTGGACGATCGGGCGCCTAAGAACACATCACAGCAGGGCCACCTGAAGGACGGGCCAGGAAAGGTCAGATGGGCAGAGATGTGTCATTCCCGCTGGTCCCCCCGCCCCCCACCCTTCCTCACAGACGTTGGTGGAGCATAAATCTCTGAGCTGCCTGCTGCTCCGGGCCAGAGGTCTGCAGCTAGACAACACCTCCCATTGGCAGGCTAGGGGAACCATCGAGGTGGGTCCTGTCAGGTGGGCCGCAGCAACACCCCCCAGGATCTGCCCCTCCAATCATATCCCTACAGTTCACTGTGAGTTCACAGGCTTCCGGCTTCTCCATGCTGGCAACTGCCCAGGACACGTCTCCTGGTCAGGAAGTTATGCACATGTCTAGACATCAACCTAGGGGAAAGGTGCATCAGTTTCCGGGGTCAGCTCTCTGTGCCCTTGGTCTTGCCCCCTACTAGGGCCTACACCGGCCCTGCTCCTGACATCTTTCACCAGCATTGACTTACAAACCCTGTGCCAGATTCTGGGCGGCATGCTGGGGATAGGATGGCGGGTCCGGTCCTGGGCATCCAGAGTGCCCATGGAGGGGGAGCTGACAAGGCTGGGGTGAAGGAAGTCTCTCTAAGGGAGGGCCCTTCAGGATGAGACCTGCAGGGGGAGGGAGTTGGGGGAAAGGAGGCAGAGGGGGCAACATGCAGGCAGAAGGGGTCAACATATGCAGGAGCAAGTGTCAGAGTGTGTCTGGAGGCCGTAGGAAGCTGGTATGGCGGGGCTGGAGAGAGGCCTGGAGAGGGGAGCATGACGAGGCTGGAGGGAAGAGAGGGAACTGTGGCAGGATGCCAGGTACCACAGGGCACAGTTTGCAAAACTTCCTTTGTCCTTCCTTTCCTTTACTGAGGGCCCTCACCTTGCTGGGCCTGTGCCGGACATGGGGGTCCTGAGATGAATGGAGGGGCTTGGGGAAGAGAATCTTAAATCCTTCTTGACCCAGGAGCAGTTGTGCTTTCCATGAGTCTCAAGAGAGACTTGACCTAACCTCGAATGGTTAAATCATTGGCCCAATATTATCAAGCTCCTTTAGTAGCTCTGGGGAGTCATGAGCCCCAGAGGGAAGATGCTCAAATGGTAGCATTTCCACACCCACGCAGATGGTCACTTTAGATTCCAAAGTCCAAACTCTCTCACTGGGACACCCTTTGGGGCTTCAGCCCCTGCAAGGACTGCACTCTTGAAAACTGACCCCGAGGCAGGCCTTGGTTCCCAGGATGCACAGCTTTCTAGCAAGGCATGTAAGAGTGGTGTTTTACCAAGTCACAGTTTTATTGTTTTCACTCACAACACCCCTGGTTACCCTGTGGGGTCAGATAGGAGTGTCTCGCCGAAATGGGCGGCGGGTATTGGTGAATCTGTCAGCCTGGTCTATAGCTAAAGGCTCCGCACCCTGCTGCCCGTTTCAAACGTTTGTCTTATTACGAAAGAAATGCATGTCCATTGAAGAACCCTTGGAAAGTGCAGAGGAGTAAAAAGAAAGAAAAGAAATCACCCACACTGCCTCTCAGAGCCTGACCAGAGGTGAAGCCAGGCCCTTGGCACAGGTGACATTCAGCCCCTGACCAAAGGAGCTGAGACCTGGCCAGCGAAGGCCTGGCCCACACAGCCTCTGTTTTCTGAACTCCCTCCTTCCCTTCACAAGTTCCACTCAGTATGGGCAAGAGAGTGCCAGTGCCCAAGGCTCGGGGTCCTTCTCACTTTCACACAGGTCACCTGTCCCCCAATCCAGCCAGCCCACACAACAGCTTTAGCAGCACTGGTCACTGGCACATGCTCCTGCCCATGGGGGTGGCATTTACTGCTCCCTCCCTACAGAGTGGTCTTCACCCAAACCTCTGCACACTCACACTTGACTTCATCTTGACTCTGCCCAAATGTCCCTGGCACTCCCTGGGCCCTGCTCCTGATTGGGGCAGGCCTAGGTCCCAGGGGGACCCCAGCCCCTTTGCAGGGAAGGCCCCTGGAGGGGGTGTGGCAGAGGCTAGAGGACCACAGCACTGTTCTCTGGTGTCCCCAAGCAGAGCCCAGTCCCACTGCCAGGGCCTGTGCAGCCCACCCCAGAGTATCACAAGCTTCCTCACTCGTGGGTCCAAAGGTGGCGGGACTATCAGAGAGGACTCTGGAGAGTGGGATGCTTGGATATGATGTTGAGGTCTGTGCCTTGAATGAGGTCACCAGGGGCTGCCAAGCTGGGACCCGTAGGGGACCTGCTACATGAGTTGGCAGCACTGACAGAATTAGTACACATGCTTGGAAAGTCATTTAAGTGTTTCCTCTGTGTCTTGGTCATTTCCAGGTAAAGAGGAATCTGTGTGTTCATAAATAATTTTTGTGTGTGTATCTTTTTGGTGACTTTAGCTCGATCCAAAAGCCTTCTGATGAGGCTCGGGGAAGTCTAGGCAAGTCCCCTGCTGACCCATATGCTCACTGTGTTGTGGTTGCTGCTGACACACACCTGTTCTGGGCCTTCGCCCATGCTTTCTCCCCTCTTCTTTCTCCAGCCCAGCTCAGCCCCCTCCCACTCACGCACATAGAGCCACCTTCCTCCATCCATCTCACTCTCTTCCCGTACACAACACTGTTCATGAAGCTTTTCCTCTATTTGAGTTCCTGCAAAACAGCCTCTGAGACAAGGATCTAGGGGTGATTAGTATATTTGGAGGTGATTCTAAGAAGCGTGAGGAAGGAATAGAGACGTGAAACTGGGGAGGCGGAAAGCCAATCAAGGGTGGGTTGCCCCCGTGGGCACCTGGGGCTCAGTCCCACGGGGCCTCAGAGGGAGTGTGCCAAGCATGCCTCTGAACTGCCCCACGGAGGTGTGAGGGGGCTGGTACGCTCCCACCCTCTTCTACCCCTATTGGCTGAGAGTTGCTCCTGGGGGCATTAACCACTCCCCT